AGCTGCTGCTGCTGCTGCTGCTGTTGCTGCTGCTGTTGCTGCTGCTGCTGCAGCGAACGGGATGTCCGTGTACTGCAAGCAGCAGCAACAGCAGCGACAGCAGCAGCAACTGCAGCAGCAGCAGCTGCAGCAGGACCAGAGCCCGACGAAGATCCTCCTCCAGGAGACTTCCTGAGGGACGCGCCGGAAGCCACGTCTTTAGCTGCTGTTGCTGCTGGTGCTGCTGCTGCTGTTGTTGTTGTTGCTGCTGCCACTCCTGTTGCTGTTCTTGAATGTGCAGGAGAGAGAGCGCCAGCAGCAGCTGCAGCAGCAGCAGCAGCAGCAGCTCCTTTCCGAGAGGCGAGTGACGGAGGAGAAACAGACAGCGCCCGACTTCTGGCTGCTGCTGCTGCTGCTACTGCTGTTGTTGCTGCTGCTGTTATTCTAGCGGCAGCAGGACGCGGTGTTGCTGCTGCAGCGCGGCGCGTCAGCAGCACAGTAGCAGCACGTTGCTGCGGTGTCTTCCGAGTAGCAGCAGGCCCTTCCCCACGTAAAGCAGCAGCGGCACCTGTAGAAACAGGAGTTGCTGCAGCAGCAGCAGCAGCAACTGCTGCTGCTGCTGCCGGAGAGTGCCGCACAGAGCCCGAAGCCTTCAGCGCAGCCCGTGTGAGGGGCCGCACTCTCAGCTGCTGCTGAGATGCAGCAGCAGCAACAGGTGATGCTGCTCTTGCTGGTGTTGCTGCAGCAAACGGTGCTGCTGCTGCTGCTGCAGGGAGGATGCGGTTGCATGGGGTTCGCGATGCGCTGCGAGGCGGTGTTGCTGCAGCAGCAGCAGCAGCAGCAGCAGCAGCCCGACGCTTCTGCAGCGACAAGACGCGGTTTGCTGCTGATGAAGAAGGGGCAGGAGGAGCAGCAGTTGCTGGTGTAACAGCAGCAGTTGCTGCTGCTGCTGCAGGTCTCGTTGGTGCTGCTGCAGATGGGGGTTTCGTGCTGCAGCTGCTGGGGTGGCTTGATTTGCTGCCCCGTTGCAGCAGCAAGCGACTGACACCTGCTGCCGTTGCAGCGGCAGCAGCAGCAACCAAGCGCACTGCTCCGGCCCTTCTTTGCTGCTGCTGCTGCTGCTGCTGCTGTCGCTGCTCTTGCGTGTCCTGTTCGCGTTGTGCGTCAGCAGAAGCGTTTCCTGCTGCAGCAGCAGCTGCTGCTGCTGTTGCTGCTGTCTGCGGCAGCAAGGGAGGAAGGCTGCTGTCGCTGCTACAGCAAACAGCTTCATCTAGGAGACGCTGCAGCGGGTGTAAAGGGCTACCCGGGGGGACCCCGAGTTCTTCTTCTGCTGCTGCTGCTGCTGCTGCTGCTGGAGCATCTCCAATAGAAGTCTGCGGAGAGTGCTGTGCGGCTGCAGCTGCTGCTGGTCGTGCTGCTGCTTCTGCTGCAGCTGACGTTTGCATGCAGCAGCACCGCTTAGAAGGAGATGGAGACCCCGACGTCTCCCACTGAAAAGAAGCTGCTGGGCTTCCTTCTTGGTGCTGCTGCTGCTGCTGCTGCTGCTGCTGTATAGATCGTGGCGGAGTCACGCTGCCGCTGCAGCACCTGCTGCGTTTGCTGTTGCTGCAGCTGCTGCACGAGGCGCTGCTGCAGCGGCAGCAACTACATGGAGCAATCTTTCGCTTTTGCTGCTGCTGCTGCTGCTGCTGCTGATGAACAGGGGTGTGGCAGCGCGTGCAGCAATCGGATCGCTCCGCTTGTCTGCCCCTAGTGGGGCTGTTGCTGCAGCTGCTGCTGTTGCTGCTGCAGCTGCTGCAGCAACTGCAGCAGCTGCTGCACTGTTCAGCAGCAGCAACAAGAGCAAGCTGAGACCGAGCTAACGCCTTTGCTTCTTCTGTGAAGGTAAACTCCATCATCGCCCTGAACTCAGGCAGAGTAAGACAAGAAGAAGTCCCTCCACCCTCTGCTGCTGCTGCTGCTGTTGCTGCTGCTGCTGCTGCTGGGGCTTCGTGCTGCTCCGTTGCTGCCGTTGCTGCTGCTGGAGTCTGCGGCGTCGGGGTGCTGCTGTACGCTCTGCTCCGAAGGGGAGTCCCCAGGGGCTCTTTAGAAGTGCCTGCTGCTGCTGCTGCTGCTGCTGCAAAGCCACCAATTTGCTGCTGCAGCTGCACTGCTGCGTGGAAGGTATGGCGCGAAGGCGTCGGCAACCTTTGCTGTTGCTGCTGCTGTTGCTGTTGCTGCTGCTGCTGCTGCTGCGCCGCGCGTCTGTTCTTGGGGGGGCTTGGGCTGCATGCAGACCTTACATGTTCTATCATATACTCCGCCATTGCCCTGCAGCAGGAACAGCAGCAGCAGCAACAGCAGCACGAGCATGCTGCAGCAGCAACGCGAGCGCTGAAGGGTGTTGAGAAGGGGACAGAAGCAAACAGAGACAAAGGGAGACAGGAGACAGCAAGGAGACACACCGGGTAGGAAGCTGCTGCTGCTGAGGAGCAGCACAGGCGGCATCAGCAGCAAGCAACGACAACAGATCATCTACATCAAGACACCTGCTGCTGCTGCTGCTGCCGCTCCTGCTGCTGCTGCTGCTCATGCTGCTGCACTTCTCCGGCGTTCCTGCATTTGCTGCTGCTGCCGCTGCGTCCACAAGTGCCTGCGTCTGCTGCAGCATTGCAGACCCTCGGTGTCGAGCTGCACATACACCGCACAGCAGCAGCAGCAGCAGATGTGCATGCGAACGATTGGTCTTTCTGTTGCAGCCGTGCTGCTAGATGTGCTTTTCGCTGCGGTATTGCGTGCAGGACGAGCGGGACGAGCAGCACGGCAGCAGCAGCAGCAGCAATAGGAGCAGCAACAGCACAGCAGCAGCAGCAATAGGAGCAGCAACAGCACAGCAGCAGCAGCCTACCGCGCCTAAGGAAGAGCGAAGCCTCAGCATCGAAGCCATTCCAGGGAGATGGTGCTGCTGTTGCTGTTGTTACTGCTGCTGCTGCTGCTGCTGCTGCTGCTGCTGCATGCGGAGGAGTGACGGCGTCAGCTGTTGCCCTTTCTCTTCTTCCAGTGCGCGGCGTTTGCTGCAGCTGGTGCTGCTGCTGCAGCTGCTGCAGCTGCTGCTGCTGTCGCTGCTGCATTTGTTTTTCTTCTTGCCTCGCTCGCTGCATCATAAGATATGCCTCTTCTACTTCTCTAGAGTGTCTCTGTATTGCAGACGAAGACGTCAAACAAGCAGCAATAAAATAACTGTAGGGCAGCGCCACGCACTCTGGATTCCCGAGGCTGTTGAAGTATCGCTGCAGCAACACAGCAGCAGCAGCAGCAGCAGCAGCAGCAGCAACAACAACAACAGCAGCAGCAGCAGAAGCAGAAGCAGCAATAGCAGCACAAACAGCAAAGCAGGAGAAGCAATGGGTGAAAGGCAGGCTTCGTCAGCAGCAACAGTATCACCAGGTGCAGCGCACGCTAAAGGAGCAGCAGCAAAAGCAGCAGGTGCTGGCGAAGCTTCAGCAGCAGCAGCAGCAGCAGCAGCAGAAGCAGAGGGTGAAGGGGAGCTACAGTTTGGTTGCTCTGCTTCAGGTGTATGTACACCGCAGGCGCACCTGCAGCACAGAGCGAACGAGGGCTTCAAGCTGCAGCCGCTGCTGCTGCTTCTCTTGATTCGTTTGTTTTTGCTGCTGCATCTGCTGCTGCAGCGCAGCAGCAAGCTGCTGCTGCAGGTCCTCTGCATGCAGGGCCCCGCTGCACTTTGCATCGAGGAGACGAAATATGCGCAACCAATTTTGTGTTGCTTCTTCTCGCAGCAGCCGCGCCATTATCAGCAGCGCCACCTGCAGCAGCAGCAACAGCAGCAGCAGCAGAAGCAGCAGCAGCAAAAGCAGCAGCAGCATGGAGTGGAGGTGCGTGGATGTACGTAGATTGTCGCGGGGTGAATAAGAGAAGAGGGTTGTTCAACTTCGAGAGAGATAAAGCTGCTGCTGTTGCTGCTGCTGCTGCTGCTGTTGCTGCTGCTGCTGTTGCTGCTGCTGCTGCTGCTGTTGTTTGATTACCTTTTTGAGCGGAGGAGACACTGCGAAGCGAACCAAAGACCGCAGCAGCGTAACAGCTTCAGCAGGCAGCAGCAGCAAAGAAGACGAACAAGCATCAGACAGCGCATGCAAAGGAGACGAATAACCCCGAAAGTAGGGATGCTCTAATACCTAAAGAGACAAAAAAGAAAGACAAAAGGAGACAGATAAAATGAACGACAAAAGGAGACAGATAAAATGAACGACAAAAGGAGACAGATAAAATAAAAGACAAAAGGAGACAAAAGACAGACAAAAGGAGACAGATAAAATGAAAGACAAAAGGAGACAGACACAGAGAGATAGAAAGGTAGATAGGGAGAGAGAGAGAGAGCGAGAGAGAGAGAGAGAGACAGAAACGGAGACAAATAAAATCAGCATTATGAGGAGACAGAGACAGGCAGGAGGAGACAGACACCAACAGCAGATGGAGACAGAAAAAGAGAGAGCGAGAGAGAGGGGGAGAGAGAGACAAAAGGAGACAGACAAAAAAGCAGTATAAGGAGACAAAGAGCGACAAAGAGAGACAGGAGACAAGTAGCAACAGCAGCAAAATGGAGACAAAGAGAGACAAAGAGAGAGGAGACAGCAAATTTAACAGAGGCATTAAAAAAGAGACAGGGGACTGACAACAAAAACAAAATAAGAAGAAAACAAACAAAGACAAAAGGAGACAGGAGACAGGCAGCAACAGCAGCACTAACATAAGCAGATAAACGGAGACACAGGGAGAGAGGCGACAGCAGCAGCATCATAAGAAGGAGACAAAGAGAGACAGCGTATAAATATTTATAAATAAATAAAAAGCAGCAGTAAACAGCACGCAACTTCAATTCACCAGAGCCGCTAATTACTGCATGTACACTAGCAGCAGCAGCAATTACAACAGCAGCAACAACAAAACAACAGCAACAAAACAACAGCAGCAACAACAGCAACAAAACAGCAGCAGCACCAGCACCACCACCAACAGCAGCAGCAACAACAACAGCAGCAGCAACAGCACCACCAACAGCAGCAGCAGCAGCAGCAGCAACAGCAGCAGCAGCAGGAGGAGTATATAAGCGTGAAATAACCTGTCTGCCTGTCCATCGCTTAGTAGGGTCTTTATGAAGTACGCCTTGAAGCACTTGTAGCACACCGTTAGCAGCTAGAGGGGTATATAAACTGTCTGCCCAGTTGATGTCTTTGTTCGCTACAGCCCACATAACTTGAGTGTCTCCTTCGCCGCTAAAGGGTGTCTCTCCAGTGTATATAAAGTGCAGCAAAACCCCTGCACTCCACACGTCGCATTTGCTGTTGTACGCTAACCCGGGTGCACCTGAGACGATCTCCGGAGCAGCATATAGCGGCGTACCTGCACAATACGCAGCAAATTTGTCTCCTTTTTGTCTCCTTACCCTCGACACCCTCTTGTTCAAATTCATTCGGGCTGTCTCCATGTCTCTCTATATGTATTATATATATATATATATATATGTATATATATATATATATATATGTATGTATATATATATGTATATATATATATAGATGTATATATTCTTATATGTGTATTGTTGTGTCTCCGTTTATATTAGTGTTGTCTCCTTTTATATTAATTGGGTCTCCTTTAATATTAATAGTGTGGCTGTCTCCTTTGATATACAAACTGTCTCCTTTTATACATTAGCTGTCTCTTCATTAATATAAACTGTCTCCTTTTATATACACAGGGTGTCTCCTTTTATATTCAGGCTCTCCCCCTTTATATGTAATAGCTGTCTCCTCTTATATATAAACTGTCTCCTCTTATATATAAGCTGCTCTGTCTCCTCTTGCTGTCTCCTTTTCTGTTGGTCTCTGCGTTTAGTTTTATTGCGCTGTCTTCCTGCTGTCTTTTTGTCCGTTTGTTTGTTTGTTTGTTTGTTTGTTATTATTATTATTATTATTATTATACTAAAATATGCATTTAGAGGCACAATATTAATATAGTGTTTGTCTAGGTTGTATGCAGCAGCCATAAGAAGGTGTGTGGGGTGTCTCCTCTCACCGGCCCTTGTATATAGGAAGGAGCTGCTGCCGCTGGATAGATTTGCTGCTGTCTCTTCTGCCCCACCTCTTGTCTCTAATGAAGCAATAAGTTCAGGGGGAGGCAGGAGCCAGCGCATGCATGCATCTCCATCGTTGGTGTCTGTGGGGTGTTCGTCCCTTTTAACAGCATCATCGACCCCACAGTTGCCCCTGCTGGGATCGCCCGATCCCGATCCCGATCCCGATCCCTGGGATCGCCCCACAGGTCTCCGTATATTGAGGTTCGCCAACCCAAAATCAAGGAGCTTCAACTCTGCATCTGCTGCATGCGACGTCCAGACGAAGTTTTCCGGCTTTACATCGCGGTGTACGATGTTGCGGTCGTGCAAATAACATAAAGCCTTTTAAAGAGACAAAGGGAGACAGCAAGAGGAGACAGCAAAATAACATTAAAAGGATATTAAAAGCATATAAAAGACAAAAGGAGACATGCAAGAGACAAATAGAGACAAACAAAGACAAAAGGAGACAGCAAAAGGAGACAGAAAGGATATTAAAAGGAGATAAGAGACAAACTAGAAGCAAAGAGAGACAAAAGGAGACAGCCAAAGGCGACAGGAGACAGAAGGGAGATTAAAAAAAGATAAGAGACAAAAGGATGCAAAAGAGAGAGAAAAAGAGACAGCAAAAGAAATTAAAAGGACATAAGAGACAGAAGGAGACAGAAGGAGACAAAAGGAGACAAAAGGAGACAAAGCCCCAAAAAGGACAAAGACAAACGCATGCACGCGCACAGACGGCGAAGGAGACAAAAAATAGAAACAAAAACTAAGAAAGAAAAAAACAAAGACAAAGACAATAAACAAAGACAATAAAAACAAAGACAATAAACACAAGCAAGAGACAGAGACACAAAACAGAGACTCAAGACAAACAAAGATAAAAACAAAGATAAAAACAAAGATAAAAAGCAAAGACAAACAAAAGACAGAGACACTCACTTCAAAAATGCTGCGGATTGTGCGGGCCTTGGCGGCCTCTGAGGAGAGCAGGATTGGCTCTGAGGAGACAGCAGCAGCAGCAGCAGCAGCAATAGAATCAATAGCAGCAGCAGCAGCAGAATTCATAGCTGCAGCAGTATCCATATCAGCAGCAGTATCCATAGCAGCATCCATAGCAGCAGCAGCAACAGCAGCAGCACAAGCACCAGTATCCATAGCAACAGCGGCAGCAGCACAAGCAGCAGTACAATCGAGAGAAGCAGCAGCAGCAGCACCAGAATCGACAGGAGCAGCATGAGCACAGCAGGTGCAGCAGCAGCAGCAGCAGAATCGGCAGCAGCAGCAAGTATCTTAATTGATATTAATGCTGCTTGTATATATATTATATTATATACATACCGATGTTGCGTCTGCTGCAGCGCGGTCTGTGGTGCATGCCGTTGAAATGCTGGTGATGGTGATGGTGGTGCTGCAGCTGCTGCAGCAGCAGCAGCTGCTGCTGCTGCTGCTGTTTGTCTGAGGGAGGCACGTAGTGCTGCAGCAGGGTGCCCCCTGTGCAGAGCTCCATGACTGTCCAGAGTTTATCTTTGCTTGCATACACTTCGTGCGTCTTAATTATATTAGGATGATCTAAGAGCTTCATCAGCATCAGCTCTTGTTGCATGCGCTGCACATCTCCTTTGTTTCTGCTTTGTCTCACCTTCTTTAAATCTACTATCTTTACGCAAAATAAACCCTTGCTGCTGCAGCTGCTCCTGCCGCTACTGCTGCTGCTGCCGCTGCTGCTGCTGCTGCTGCTGCTGCTGCTGCTGGCGCGCAGACGCACACGCTTTACCTGGCCGTACGCTCCAGAGCCTATCACACCCCCTATCTCTTCATACTTTGCTTTGTATGCTGCAGCATCACCCCAAGGGACTAGCGGAGGCAGCCATGAAGGGAGGCGAGGGTTGAGGCACTCCCAGCTGCTGCTGCTGCTGCTGCTGCTGCTGCTGGTAGTCGTAGTGGTAGTCGTAGTGGTAGTCGTGATTGGAGTGCTGCTGCTGCTGTGAGTTGTGCTGCTGCTGCTGCTGCAACTGCAACTGCAACTGCTGCTGCTGCTGTTGTTGCAAGTTGGGCTGCTGCTGCTGCTGCAGCTCGGGCTGCAGCTGCTGCTGCTGCAGCTGCTGCTGTTGCTCCTACTCGGAGGCCATGAACAGCCGCACGAAGTGCTGCTGCTGCTGCTGCTGCTGCTGCTGGTAATGCAGCCACTGGGTAAAAGAGAAGAGCAGCAACTCCCTGTTGCTGTCTCCCTGCAGCAAGCGACACAGCCCTTTGTTGTGCTGCTGCTGGCGCTGCTGCTGGCGCTGCAGCACTCAGCAGCAGGACGAGCATCTTTTGGGGTTTTGCTGCTGCATTGTGGGCCCCACAGCTCTACCTCATGCTGCGCATCTGCTGCTGCTGCTGCTGCTGCTGCTGCAGGGTCTTGCTGCAGTCTACTGCTTACAGCCGTAGGTGAATGCGCCATGTTGATTATCTGTCTCCTAACGCTGTAGCAGCTGCTGCTGTTCTTGTTGCTGCTGCTGCTGTTGTTGCTGCTGCTGCTGTTGTTGCTGCTGCTGCTGGATGGGCAGGCGCGAGAGGAGGCCAGACGCGCAGTATGAGTTCGTGCTGCTGTTGCTGCAGTTGCTGCTGCTGCTGCTGCAGCTACTGCTGCTGGTGCTGCAGCTGCGTCTGCAGCTGCTGCTACTGCTCCCGCAGGTCAAAGAGACAAGTTTAGACAAAAAATTGCTGCAAAAAGGAGACAAAAGGAGACAGTGCAACGGTGTCAATCAAAAAATCCTCTGTTTGAGCTGCTGTCGGTGCCTTTAGCTGGCCACTGTTTGCTGCTGCTGCTGCTGCTGCTGCTGCTGCTCCCTCTATGCCTTTAAGTGCTGCAGAAGGAGACAGAGACAGAGACAGTGAGTGGCCGGTAGCTTCAAGCAAGACACAAAAGGAAAAAAATCCGCGGCATATCTGCTGCAACTGTTGCTGCTGTTGCTGCTGTTGCTGCTGCTGCTGTTACGGGTGCTGCTGTTGTTCCCCTGCTTGCTGCTGCTGCCTTGCAGTTTCGCTTGCTGCTGCTGCCGCTGCTGCTGCTGCTGCTGCGTCTCCTCACGCTCAGCGGGCTGCGAGGTGTCTGTATACTGCAGCAGGGCCCCCTATAACCTCAATGAGAGAGCAAGGGGCTAGCAGCAGTTTCGGGTGTATACGCAGCTCTGATGGCTGGGGGGTTAATGAAGAGGCAGCAAATGAATGCAGCAAGGATGGAGGCAGGAGAGAAGCCGCATTAACCTCTTTGTTGCAGCTGTATGGAGCCCGCAGAACCGCAGCAGCAACAGCAGCAGCAGCTGCTGCAGCTGCAGCAGCAGCAGGACCAACTGCAGCAGAAGCAGACAGAAAGCAGCAGCAACTCTCTGTGTGTGTTATGCACACAACCCCATCATTCAAAGCAGCAAAGGCTGCACTGCCGACTACGCGCTACTGTGTATTTCTGTTGCTGCTGCTGCTATTGCTGCTGTTGCTGCTGCTGCTGCTGCTGCTGCTGCTGCTGCATCGCAGCGGGGCTGTTGCTGCTGCTTAGTGTGGCTCCTTCTGTAAAGAAGGAGGATAAAGACAAAGAGTTATTAGAATTAAACTCTTTTTTATAATTTTAAAGCAATTGATGCGGCAGAAATAAGCAAAAAAACAGCAGCAGCAGCTGCTGCTGCTGCAGCGTGGGGTGGTTATTGGTGGGGTTGTTGTTATGCTAGCAGCAGCTACAGGTATATCTTTAACTATTATTTCTTCTTCTTCTTTCCTCTCTCTCCCGCTTAATAAACCCTTTTTAAATGATTAAATGCCTTTCTTTCTGTCTATTCTTTTGTCTCTGTCTCCTCAACTTCATCTATACAAAAATAAACACAACCCCACCCCCCTAGCACTCAGCAGCAGCAAACGATGCACCATCACTTCTTGCCCATTTGCAGATTCAGTCTGTCATTAAACATTCGTGTTGTTAGCGAAGCTAGCTCTTAGAGCTCCTCCTAGCTAGCTAGCTAGCTAGCTGGCTGTAGCTAGCCAGGTGTAGCTAGCTAGCTGTATCTAGATAGCTAGCTGTATCTAGATAGTTAGGTATAGCTAGCTATGTGTAGCTAACTATGTGTAGCTATCTAGCCAGGTGTAGCTAGCTACCTAGCTAGCAATGTGTAGCTAGCTACCTAGCTATGTGTAACTAGCTACCTAGCTATGTCTAGCTAGCTAGCTAGCTAGCTATGTTATATAAAGTTTAAATAATAATACGTAGGCCTAAATGATCTTCCTACATGCAAGAAGTCCACCAATGGTGAAAACGACAAAAAAAGAAGGGGGTTTTGTTTGGGGCTGCATGCAGCCGGCAGCATCATTGCTGCTGCTGCTGCTGCTGCACGCAGCAGGCAGCATCGCAGCAGCAACAGCAGTAATGAGGCATATTAAAACCCTCGTAATTTCTTCTGCTTTCTCTATCTCCTTTCTATTCACTCTCAGGCTATTAGGGCCCCTTTGCTTGTATAGAGGGTAGAAGATATGTATATATATATATATATATACATATATATATATGTATACATATATATATATATGCATATATATGCTTAGAGTAGAGCTTCTCCTCGCATTAATTATTAAGTTGTCTTCTTCTGTCTCCAACACTCAGCATCGCGCAATTTTATATATTTATACTCTTATACATATTATGTGTATAATATATATACCTTAAATTATATTTATCTATCTTTATATAGGTATATATTATATATTTGCATAAATATAAATAAGCAATTCATATATAAACATATACATATAAATATATATATGTATATAAATATATATATATATACATATAAATATATATATATATATATATATAAATATATATATAATATTATCAAATCAAAAGAAGTATGAATATGCATTTTAAATAAAAATTGTACTTGTTTATATTACAATTTATCCCTATCTATATAAAATAGGGATTTGAGTTTAGGGTTTAGGGTTTAGGGTTTAGGGTTTACGGTTTGAAGTGTACATACAAAGGCTCTGAGAGGTAAAATAATAAAATACAGCTTTTATTTAATCCAGACACCCGCAAGGACTCCTTTCTCTTGCCGGTTTAGGGTTTAGGGTTTAGGGTTTTAGGGTTTAGGGTTTAGGGTTTAGGGTTCTCGAGTGTACGGATAGGTGGGATCAGGGTTTAGGGTCTAGGGTTTAGGGTAATTCCTTTTTATGGAGGGCTCAGGGTTTAGGGTTTAGGGTTTAGGGTTTAGGGTTTAGGGTTTAGAAGCTGAGTGGTTGCAGTGCATTATATCTGTCAGCCTCAATCAATTTTTCTTCGTTTGTTACACCGCTTCCTTTGCTACAAATATATATATATATATGCATATATATATATATATATATATACATATATATGTATATATACTTTTAAAATTATTAAATATATGTGTATGTATATGTATATGTATATATATGAATAATACTATATATATAACTGATGATGTCTACAGCTCTAGTTGTTGTATATCCTGCTGCGTGCACCAAACCCCACATTAATAATGCATGCAGTAATTTATCAAATAATTAAAAGCCCCACTCTA